TATTGGAACTACTAAGTAAACAGATGACAAAATTTATCTTACAAAACAAACGTTACTTTAGAAACACGGGAATAACAATATCAGAATTTCTGGATGTTAAAGCTACACAGGCAAGACGAAAACTACGAGAGATTCTGGACGTAGAAAGAAAAAAGGAAAACACGCAATAATTCGTAACAATAAATTATACATTGAGGGAAAGGAGTACATCATGCCACAACAGACGGAACGCTTACATAAGAGGCAAAGAGACAATAATGAAACTACAAACGCACACGAAAAAGACGAAACATTTCGGAGATCAACAACCAGTAAATCAACAAATACATTTCACGAATAATTTTCAAATACTCACACAAAACTTCCAAAGCGCAAATAACAAAATACATTTACTGGAAAGCGTGCTAGAGGAACAAAAATATGGGGTAGTCTGTATGACGGAAACCTGGTTCAAGAAGGAAAGACAGGAATACACACAGATGCATGACTATAGTATTGCGGCATCGTACACTAGACAAAAACGCAAAGGTGGCGGAGTAGCAATATTAGTACGTGAAGGGATACGCTATAGAGAACTCAGCGACATCACAAACCCAACGATCGAATATGTAGTTGAATGCTGTGCCGTGGAAATAACTAATTTGAATTGTATTGTAATATGTGTATACAGACGAGGTCGTAAGATTGATATATTCATGGAATTTCTTAATAGATTACTAAATAGAATAAAACCATTATCAAAAACAAAACACATAATAATAACCGGTGACTTCAATATACCTAACATGACAGGTTGCTCAAAATATATAAATTTACGAAATCTAATGCTAGAATTAAATTTAAAACAAATAATAGATACACCCACAAGGGTGACTCGTAGTACGTCAAGTTGCATCGACTTGCTATTTACAAATTATACAATGTTTACTGCAACAGTAGCAGATAATGGTATTAGCGATCACAAAGGCATTATTTTTAATATTAAATTAAAAACGAATGATTTAAGAACAACTAAACAGGTTTATTTAAGTAATAGAAATTATTCAAAACAAAATATGTCGCTCTTTAAATCGAAAATTGCAAATATAAATTGGAATTATTTTTTTTAAAACACAAATAATATTGACGAAAATTACATAGCTTTTGAAAATAAACTAATAGATATAATGGACGAATGCATACCGCGGCGTCGCACTAAATTAATCCCTAACAAAAAACTCAAATGGTTGACTACTGGTTTAAGAATATCATGTATACATAAAAGACAACTGAAAAAAATTATAAATCAAACGAATAATGTTATATTAAAACGTCACTATAAACAATACGAAAAAACTCTTAAAAAATCTATAAAATTATGTAAAAAAATTAACTACTCTAAACTGATCTCAAAATCTAAAAACATTACAAAAACTATGTGGAAAATAATAAAAACTGTAACAAATAAAGAAAACTCTAATATAAAAATGAACGAAAACATAAAATTGATGTTAAATAATTTTGCACATGAATCTCCCTCAGAAATAGCAAATATATTCAATGACTACTTTGCGTCGGTGGGTCAGCCAGCGCATCAGACGTAAGAGGAGGAGTGCTTAGATGGTTCCAATCTTACCTACTGAATAGACAACAGTATGTGGAAATCGAATATTGGGATAAAGACTTAAATTCAATCGATAGAGTGAAATCAACAACAAAAACTATAAACCACTCTATCCCCCAAGGCAGTGTTTTAGGGTGTATCTTATTTATCATTTACATAAATGAACTACCGGAATCTTTGAACACCCTTTGTGTTATGTATGCTGACGACATTTCTTTGCTATTCAGGTGTAAGGATGATAGTGACAGTATGAACAATATCCTACATTCTTTTAATTTGGTTAAAAACTGGCTGTCAGACCACAATCTTATGATCAATTTAGATAAGACTAGACTTATTCAATTCGGGCCACATCAAAGGAAAAAACTGGACCTTAAAACTGTAGTGACTATGCTAAACATTGAGGAAGTAGAAAACTTTAATTTATTAGGAATAAATATTGACTCTCATTTAAATTGGAAGACGCACTAAAATCAAAATTGTCTTCATTTACGTACGCATTAGCACTTTTAAAAACAAATAGTAATAAAAAAGCGGCGCTCGCCAGTTATTATGCCTACGCCTACGCATGGCTGAAATACGGCATCATGCTGTGGGGTAGTAGCACCAATAAAGAAGATATTTTTGTAATGCAAAAGAAATTTATTCGTATTATCATGAATGTTATATAGTTATATAATATATAGTTGATAGTTGTCGCCCATACTTTGCCAAAGAAAACCTCCTTACTTTCCCCTCACTGTATATACTCGAAGCAGCATCATACATTAGGAGGCATATTCAAGACTTCAAACACGTACAGAGTTTTAGAAGGAACAATCAGCTCGAACTCCCCAAGCCAAAGCTAGAAATGCACAAAAACAGCCCATATTATCGCGCAATAAAAATATATAATAAAATACCTGCTGACATAAAAGATGAAGCTAATGATAGAATTTTCCATAAAAAATTAAAAATATATTTGACGGGGAAAACCTATTAGACAATTGAAAATTTTTTAGACGATTAATTATATTAAATAATAATAATTACAACACCATAAACTAAAAATGAATATAATTATGATAATGAGCTGATTTATAATAATTTTGATAATATGTTTTAGCTTATAAATTATTTTTGACATGCTATTTAAGTTTTTGACATTTTTATTTTATACTAAATTTTTACCAATTATTGTTTTAATTTTATTTTGTATAATTTTTTGAAGTACCTATAGAATTTGACAGTGCCCTTTTCAGGGTCATGTACTACACTCTAGTCGTAATGTTAATAAACATTGTAACACCTGACTACGTACATGTGACAATAAATATATGAATATGACTATATTAATACAATAATACAATATTAGCTGCAGTGCCAGTCGTCTGATCCCGCCCATGATCAGAACCAATTACGAGCAAGAGGTCTCTGCCGTCAAATGTAAAGGATGCGGAGTCATTTAGTTTATTTAAATCGAAATTGTATAAACATATTATTAACGACCGTTCACTACTGAAATAAATATTTAATTTATATAACAATAATGTAAATTTTGTAAACAGTTGAACTCTCAACTTATGTTTGTACCTTATGGTAGTATTGGACTGGAATATTGTTAATTTAAAGATTACTTTTTAAGTTCTCATGTAAGTGACAATTGTCTTAATGAGAATAAAGTATCTTTGAACTCATATAGATTACACCAACACTTCAAAAAACACGGGTTTCAAATAATTTACTAATTATTTTTATACTATGATGACAAAGTGACATTTTGTACATAAGTGGGTGAAAAGTAGCAAGAGAGAAGAGAAATAATGTTTTCGTTTTAATTCGAAAAGATCTAAGAAACGTATAGTTTAGAAACAATAGTCTCCCGAAATACCCACCCCGCCATCACCACCAATTAGAAAGAGTAATTTTTTTCTAATGATGCTTTTCGGAATTCAACTGATATTGTCTGCGTCATAAGATAAGACTAACCTAAACTAAATTAAGTAAACACGTTCAACATGCTGCATTTGATCCGGCTATAACCTAAAATTATAGTAAAATAAAATGCAGCCAAATGTGATTGCACTTGTTTCATAAAGAAGTAGGTTCTCAATTTACTTTTTTTTCTTCTTTTTTTATATGTATGTTACGCGATATTTCCGGCATTTGTGAACCGATTTTGACGAATGTAATGTAAATAAATTGTTTCTTGGAGGTTTTAAAGGAACACCTCCACTGTTCGTTTACTTATTTTTGAGTATCGATTGTCACATTTCTGGCTTTGACTATTTATTACAATTCATTAAACGACCTACAATTAACTTTTACTTTTGAATTGCTCATGGTACTTATATAAGCCAAGAAGATAAATGCGAAACCTACTTCTTTATCATGATTGTCTTTTTTAAATTAACATTTAGATATGTATTGATACCATCTGTATTCTCTTTCATTTTTTCTTATTCGCAGTTGCACTGATCAGTTCTTCCGCCAGTTTTAATTGTGTAAATACTGCACAAGACAGCAACTTATTGGAATAGTGCCGTTATTGTTTGTGTTAAGCAAGTAAAATGTAACGTGTTTGTGTGGAAAACCAGACACTTCCACGATAGACCGGCTCACGCAGAAATGTGTGTCAGGAACGTCTGCAAGAGTAAAGACGTGAAGATATCGAACATCCTCTTAAATTAAGTTCAAGGTAAGAGGTTCCTCTTACCTTGAACTTACTCTAAGGCACTCCCGTGAGTGCCGGTTAGTCGAACGCCGTGGAGCGATAGGAGTACTCTAACGTCATTCGTCGCTTTATTAGGGTTTTGCAACGCGTAAAGTTTACATCTGGGCGAGAATTTTTCAACTGCACTGATTTTACATTTACAGTCAATAAAACTCATGTATGTAGGGTTCTTAACGTGATACTTTCGACTTCGTCGGTCATTCCGATCCATCTGGTATGTCACGGGTACTTGCTGCTTAAATGTGGACAGACTGTGACATTTCAACGAATGCGAGCTTGTTTTTCACCCACTGCACTATGTGCCGAACCGATTCCTGCTGTGGCACTAAATTATGGCGAGTCTGGCACGTGTGGCAATGACTAAAGTGTGGACGGTTGCTCGCACCCGTAGAAGGGCAGAAAATTAATCCTTTAAAGAAACCGCCCACAAATGTTACGCCATATACGTATGTATGACACGACAAAATATGTAAAATAGAGGCCCCGGGTTGTTTGTCCGCGTGACCAAATAATAGTAACGTCCTATCTCACCGCACTGATTGCCCGGTCTCATCCAGAACACGTTTTCGACAATGTTTATTTCTGAAATTTATTCTACCGGGCCGTTGATATCGTCCGGTCCACAAAATCTGTCCAACGGGTCATGTCCTCGAAATAACCGACACCGTAATTGTATTTTTTCAGCCTGAAAATATTTTAGTGGAACTGAGCGGAGCGCAACCGCAACTGAAAATAATAGATCTTGGTTCGGCGGTGGAGACTATCGATAACGTCGGCGCCGCAGGGCGAGAGGTGCTGCCGCCAGCGCCCGCGCAACTCGAGTTCGCTCCGCCCGAGTGCGTTCTGGGCCGACCGCCTGCGCCCGCTTGGGACGCCTGGGCCGCCGGGGTCTTTGTATACGTGTTTCTAACCGGGGTAACAAAATTCTAGAGTAATAATGAACGTGGAAGTGTCGCGCGTCTCTCCGTGTACCTTCACCGGTGTGATTATTTTCAGTTGTCGCCTTTCCTGGACGAATCCGTCGAGGAGACGACGGCGAACATCATAAAATGCGACTACTGCTTCCCGCCGGAGCACTGGGAGGGCGTCGAGGAGCGCGCGCAGAGGATCATTCGCGGGCTGCTGGAGGCGAGCCCCGCCCGCCGGCTCACTCCGGCCGACGCCCTCAACGACCGCTGGTTCGACGAGGTACCTGCACTGAACGGTGTCAGCGCCAGACGCTCTGGACCCGACTCACCGACGAGGATTTCGTCCACAGGCACCCGACAGTCCGCTATCGGCGACGCAGCTGAAGACGTTCCTCGACCGACGGCGGCCGGCCGGCCACGGCAACGCGCTCCACGCGCTGCGCTCGCCCGACGACACTTGACGGGAGGAAGACGGCGTTCGCTCGGCGATCGGCGCGGGGAACGCCCACTCGACGATCTGACGACGTCCGCCACTCCACTCCGCCGTTAGGTTTTCACTTTTAGACGCTAGAAACCTCCCCCTCTGGTTTTTTAGTCGCACTTTACGAACGCACTCCGACACCGGCATCGAATGTATCCATTATAGTAAAGGTGTAGCGAGCGTTACTCGACATACTGATATTAGAGTAGAATATGTTTTACAAACGAAAATATTGGACGTACCGACAATATTTTCATCTACTTCGTAAACTAGCTAATAGCCAACGTTTCATGTGAACGTGTTATAAAGAGCAAAACGTCATGCGACGAATGTGCGTTCGTGCATGCGACGTAACCGGCACGCGACGCCTCGCCCGTGATAAAAATACGGTTACGAACTTCGTAGTTTCCCACTGATGTATTGAAACAGATAGGTAGCAAGTATGTGCCGCTCGCAACTGTCTTTTGTACCAGTACGCTGGCGTCTATATGCATACACTTCTACTACTACTACTGCTACTACTACTACTACTACGTCTATATGCGTGACGTTGTACCGATTTCAGTTTAACCGCACCCGTCTACAGGTAGACCCCCTTAGTCGTACTACGTAGGCGTAGTCAACGTGCCCACCAATCGAGCTCGTCATTTTAGTTATGTGGACGCACTTTAAAGTGCTCCGTATTGCAAACCTGCGTTTAAGATTAAATTAAAAACTTGCTGAACAAGTAATTATCTATTGGAATACGTTTTTGGACCTCTGAATGACAGTTCTATACTTTATAACGAATGTACCGAAAAGTAGTGTTTACAGTTTGGTTATACTCGATTTGAGTGTTCATTAGCTCGACCGATTGTAAGGATTGTCTGTGATTTATGCTAAAGTAATATTTCATGCTTATATATTCCTAATTTAAAGTAGTTATCTACTTGTTAAACAATCTTATATAATAAAATTGTATATAGCAACTAAGTTAGCATGTAAATTTTATCCTAATTCGTGACCAAAATGGATTTTTATCGCGTACTGACGTCATTGAACGAATACAGTAGATTCAATGTTTGTCCTGTTGACGCTTGTAATGTTTATAGAAGAAAGATACCGAGTTGCATTGACTGTATTTTATAAGTGTTCGGTTAAGACGAACCACACCCTGCTGCACACATCCAAAGTGTCCACATTTTGATACAAATCATAGATCGCATTACAGGGCGTGACAAGTTAACAATATGGAAGTGTTTAGGTAGTTTGTTCTGTAACGTGTAGTCCATTCTTCATGGAAATGTGAACATCAGGGCCTTGATCGAATAATGGGATTGTCACAAATTCAATATTAATTAAGTCTAATTCTGCATGATTTTTAATTCGTTTGATTCACCTTTGTAAATTAGCACAGATTTGCGTGGCTTCTTTCAGAAACACCATGATCGAATTTTTAATATTTTACTTTTCAAGTGAAGTAGTGAGTGAATTTCTCGGCTTCAGTTGCTTAAAAGTACATTTAGTTGTTTTGCCCTTCCAATTAAAATCCTATTAAAACACCCTTGTGTCTAGCCGCCCATGTCCTTTCTTCAATGTCGAGAAGCACAGCACTCCTAGCCTAGGTCTGATTGTGCTTATAAAAAGATCTGTTCTATAGTCCATTTGTTTAGGTACTTAACACATAAACAATCTTGAGATGTCTTTTTAATTAAATACAGGCGCCTTGACGTCGAATTGCGGACACCAGCCCGTTTAACCAAGTACCAAGTAGTTAAATATACATTTATAAAATTATTTTTACTTACCTTCAAATACAAATACTTAGCTTCATATGAAATTACATGCCTATTTTTATACCTATTGATTTGTAAAGTACATGTTTCAATAAAAAGATGTATCAAAGATTGTTTACATTTAGTTTAAGTACCTAGTGTGTAGTACAAGTGTACTAGAGCCGCATAATTTTTAACATAATAGCAGGTTTATTTTCAAGCGGAGGAGTAGCCTAGGTGTCCATATACACATCACACAGTCTTTATTACTTTTTTTTGCGACGAGTAAGTTTTTTATCAGACTTGTAAAATTTTTAAAATTCAATTATGGTGACACAAAACACATCTGTAAAGCTTTTATATAACTCTACATAAATTGAAGGAATCTGTGACGGAATTATGTATTTCTTTTGTTATTTCCAAGTGCTAAATTCGATTCTGCATATTTTACTGTACCTTATTAAGCCTTTCTGACGTCCCAGATCAATTTCAAGAAAATATTATTCACATTAATGTTACCGAGCTGCCCGACAGTTTCACTTCTTATAAGATATGATAACGTCATTGACTAGTACTGATATACATATAACTACGTACATACATTATTGAATATACCTTGAATATATGTACCTAATAATTTAATATTACATAATTTTGTGAAAAATTTGTTTAATTCCGTCATTTTCCCTTTCAACGGCACCTGGCACCGCACCTCTTCGTTTAGATGAAATGAAACGCTGTATCATAATGGACTTGGCGTAAATATTTATTTTAAAAGGGTTTAATCGTATGTATAATTTGTGTCCTTAAAAATATATTATAAACAATGGAAAACTGTGAAAAATAGAACTTCTACAAAATAGGTTCACGTATATAATGCGATTGTTCAATTGTAGGTACTGTCATGTATATCATACTGTGTTTTACTGATATCAGTATGTTTTGTCAAATTATACAATTACAAAAATGTCAATGCACATATCAAGAATATCTTACAAGTAATACTGAAATATGAAAATAGAAGTAGAATATTCATTCGAAAATTGTAGTAAAAACGACATAGAGACGACAAGCGTGCTATTATATAGCCATCACCTTTCTGTCGAGCCAAAAGACTTTTTTGGTGCGTCTAACTAACTATCACATCATTTTCATCTTTTTTCTCCAAGAAGCAAGTGCATTTGCCCTATTGAGACTTAAGCAGACGAGTGTAATTAAAAATTAATGCCCGATTGTACTTTGGCCATCAGTTTGGCGGATTGCTGTAATAGGTTCTTTTCAGCGTCGGTGAGAGGCTGACGGACGACGTCGCACACGCCGCTGTGGCCCAACACGCACGGTAGGGATAGAAACACTTGATCTTCGACGCCGTGTTCGCCCTAAAAAAAAAGGACTGTATCCACTACAATGTACATTATTGGACTTCCTGTTTCCACTAGAATTGTATTTCCACAAAGTAACGTGAAGCGAAGACTTCTGTTTTCGAGTTGATGAACAGTCAGAAGAATCGTAAGCATTTTTGGACTTTCAAATGCACGTTTATTATTAATTAATATTTATGGATCAGTTGGCCAATTCTTTCGAAAGTCAATTGGTAAAAGTCGATTAATGAAAATAACCTACACTGCAAACGCAGCGGGCTTACATTTTTAGCCGATATTTAGACGGGCAATAAAATTAAGTGGATGACAAAGTCACTGGCTTCTGTGTCGTCGTATATTTAGACGTAAGTGCCCCTGCGCATCTTTATTGTGATCTGAAGTGAATCTATTAAATCAAAGCAGTTTTGTTACCCTTTGGAAATCGCTACAAATTTTGTAAACCTCCAGCAATTTAAAAACAAAACAAATTATGATAACGAATAGGATTACGATACCTTCAAGTATGTAGAAACAGCATGTACGCTGTTGGCGTTCGTAACAATGGCCCTCGCAAGCTGCGAGAGAGAGAGACCAATAGCCCAGGATGTATAACCCTTCAATTTGATAACCTCGTAGGCGCTCTTTACGACGCGCGCGTGGATCTCCTTCCAATTCTCAGGGTCGTCGTCCTCGCCGATTTTGGGGTTAAGGTCGCCGAGACGAACTCCCGCGATGTTCACACCGGACCACACAGGCACTATCGGATGTTTAACAATTTACATACAATATAATGAAGACGAGGAAGTCAGGATTAATTAAAGAATAACAATATTGCCTTATTATAATCTAATTATTAGTATTAATTAATAAGTAGTAGTAGGCATGTTTAAGGTAGGCAATTGGTCTCTTGCCGGTATTATGAACCTACCAGAGTAAATAAATTATCTCTGAGGTGGCACTACCCAGAACACTTACTCGGACCAGAAATTATTTAGTAGAATTGGTTTGTTCCATAGACTGGTCTTACCGGGTATCGAACCCATGATCTCCTCATCTAGGGCCGAGAGACTTACAACTGGTCAAAAAAATGATTATCACTAGTAACAGGTTTCTTACCACGGTATAACTTCTTTTTATTTTCCCGATATTTCGGAACGGTTGCACGCTCCATGGTCACGGGTTGACTGGACGGCGACAGATGACAGCTTTATGGGCAGACATATCTGTCTACCCTCTTGCGCTGTCGACGACTACCTTCATCGCGATTTGTTGTGGCGTTACCATTGTCACTCACTTTTTTCACACAAACCACACTTACTGTATCCACACGCGAAACTGAACTCGAGGTGTTTTTGTTTTTATTACTGCACGCACTAAGGACCGGATTCCATGCACTGGACAGTTTAAAACCATCATCACGGTTAAATGTTTTGTACTTCGTGATCTCGATGGCTTCTCGTACCAACCGTGGTATGTAGTGACGTTCTGTCGAGAGTACCTGGGGGCTATGCAACTCGATCCAGTGGTTAGTGTCAGTCTGTGTGAGATGTTGTGCTATAGCCGACTTCTGTGCATCATTGTTTTTTACTGCTCGGATGTGTTCCTTCATACGATCGACAATTGTTCGTTTAGTCTGACCGATATACGAGCTCCCACAACTGCAGTTCACTTTATAGACACCCGGTGTTTGTACCAGGTACTCTCGACAGAACGTCACTACATACCACGGTTGGTACGAGAAGCCATCGAGATCACGAAGTACAAAACATTTAACCGTGATGATGGTTTTAAACTGTCCAGTGCATGGAATCCGGTCCTTAGTGCGTGCAGTAATAAAAACAAAAACACCTCGAGTTCAGTTTCGCGTGTGGATACAGTAAGTGTGGTTTGTGTGAAAAAAGTGAGTGACAATGGTAACGCCACAACAAATCGCGATGAAGGTAGTCGTCGACAGCGCAAGAGGGTAGACAGATATGTCTGCCCATAAAGCTGTCATCTGTCGCCGTCCAGTCAACCCGTGACCATGGAGCGTGCAACCGTTCCGAAATATCGGGAAAATAAAAAGAAGTTATACCGTGGTAAGAAACCTGTTACTAGTGATAATCATTTAGTGAATAACCACGAAAGTCTTAAAATCTATATTACAACTGGTCCACCAAAATTTATCATCATTTGTAATCCAAAGGCTTACCACTGCTATCGCCATGTTCTCCAATGATGTATCCGTGACAAGATGTAGGAGCAATACCAAGTTTCTCAGAGAGCAAGTATCGAAATCTTGCGGAGTCGAGGTTTGTGCCAGACCCGATGACGCGGTGCTTGGGCAACCCGCTAATCTTCCATGACACGTACGTGAGGATGTCCACAGGGTTGCTCGCGATTAGTAGAATTGTGTCCGGGCTGTACTTGACAAGCTAGACGTAATAAATTATTATTAAACGTTAAACCATACAATTGCCGTTCTATTGCAGTTCTGGCCATTTTCAAATATATTTGTAGTGCAAAATATTCCGTCAGTTGCAAAGCTTTTTTAAAGGTAGAGGGGCGCATTTAACTTCCATCTCACGTGGTGCAAAGTAATAATGAAGTCGACGATGGAGCATGCACACCTATACATATAACGCCTATCCACTCTCTCCTTGAAATGACCCTAGTTATAGCGTTCAAGGAACATATCTACAGGCAGGGAATTACACTCCAAAGGGGTACGAGGAATCGCAACGCCTCGTGCAAATCCTGGGCATAACCACAACACGGGTGTGGAATCCCAGACTATGTCTAGGTCCCCGAGGATGAAATGGGGTACAATTTATTTTTATATGTTATTTATTTCATGCAAGCAAGTTCACGAGGTGTTCAAGGCTCCGCAGCTTCGCCTCTAGCTAAGCAATAAGACTGTTTCGTTTGACGACCATTCTTTCGCCAAGAAATAAACGTGTGTACAGCGAGATGGCCGAAGTGTATTTATTGATAGCAGTGTATGGTGTACATACTTTGATTAAATAAATATTGAATTCTAAAACCATTTTTTGTGATGGACAGCATGCATGTGACCTTCTCTAATACAGGGTAACTGTATTAGGTACCTAATATGTATGGATATAATTTGGCGTTGTTCAAGTTTAGGAGAAATAAAATGAAAAAAATATATATTTATTATGTTAATCTACTCATTTTTACGTTAGCTTTAGAAATAAAGCTGCCCAGGTTTATTTCCGCTGGAACAATGAAGTAAGGTCAATATAAAAAAAAAACTTTTTCATGCTATATATGTAGTTCAGTTAGTAATAAACGTTAGTCAAAGTACCCACGCAATCTAAGTATGTACCTAAGCAATGTATTAAACTTGGGCTGTGTGATGTGTTGGGACTAGATTTATTTTTAATTTCAAATTTGAAATAGGAAAGTGATTTCCAACTCAAACGTAAGAAGTCATCGTTTAGCGTGGACGACTTTCCAACCATTTTAACGGCCAGGTCATACTAATTCTGGTAAAAATGAAATAAAAAATCCATGTGTCATCCATGCTTGACACTGGACTGGCTTCTGGGACATGGGCACGGGCAAACTAACGAACGATTTCTTATATTCGCCCCAATTTATATTTATGGATCTAAAGTTTTTAGGTAAATGTAAGAAGAAATGAATAAATCGGTCTGACGGCGTAAACTGTCGTAGTCGTGTCGAAGGTGCAGGGGCGGGGGCTCTTCGACCAGTGAAGCCAGGTACGCACCGGAGGGATGATGTGTTTCAAGACGTCGGTGTTCCTCTGCACGAGGTCCAGGCGCGACTCGCCCTCGCGTTGGCGGACTCCAGCTGTCACTATGCAAATCTTGGAACCAGCGGAGACAGCGAAGTCTATATGGTCATAACAAAATTGGTAAAACTCGTATTGTTGATATTTAAAGTGCAAACGTGTATAAATGGAAACATTTGACAACCATTATTAGTTAAAATTCTCAAATCCAAAATATATTACTTGAATCAATTTACTACAAGTAGAGAGCGCTGACGATACACGGCAAGAGAATAATTTGTGTAATTAACGAGCTAGTTTTTTATGTGATAAAATAGTGACGTTGCTGAGTACAAAAGTACTCGGTAGTTTATTGTTTCAGAGAAACACAGTTTTGTTTTGTTTATGCAGAAATATATATTTTAGTTTTTATTTTGAAATATAGTCAAATATTGTGTGTGTGTGCGTTGTTAACAAAGTACTTCTAATCATTAATTATATAAATATGCCATTAGCTTGTTCATGTTCCTGGAGCGGGAAAACGTACCTGAGCTGGCTTGAATTTTGGCGTTCCTCATAAAGGAGGAACCGTGTTGTAAGTCCATCATTTCCCCCTTTAGCTTGTCCTCCATGACGTCTACCAACGCTATGTGGTTGGTCACATTCTGATAACAAAAAAACATATTAATACGGCTGAATATTTTGGTGCAGTTGATAAGCAAAACCATCTCGCTAAGAATTTGACCTGGAAATTCTGTATTTGTCAATCACGAAATCATCAAAGTTTGTTCGAGAGATTGAGTAGTCGACGATTCCACCTAACGAATGCACTCCCGCTGCAAATCCTATAGGGCCGCGTTTTCTCTACCCGAGTTGGTTTTTTGAACAATTTTATATTCATTTATTTATTTCTCGTTGATCTCACACATAAATGTCCACTTCTTACCGATAAATAAATAAAGGTTGATTACGAAAGTACTCTCCCGTTAAATTGAGACATTTCATTCTCTGTCCTAAATTCCCCCACTGTCCCCTTCGTGCCAATACGATAAGTTTTTTTTTATACACTCGTAGTCCCGCACTTTCCAAACCCTTTACCGTGGGTGCCATGGACAAACACACAGTGAGACACAAGAGAAACAAATTCAAACTCACGAGAGAAACAAATGTAGGCCATACAAATATTTCTCCCGGCCCCAAGAATCCAACCCGGGACTCCATTGCGTCGCAGACCAACACGGTAATCGTTCGGCCGCACACAACGCGGTAAGTAGATAGATAACTTAATATTCATTAAACTAGCGCTTCGTAAACACACCTAAGAACTAACATTTTTCCTAATAAAGGAAAGAAATTGTCTACTTCAGCTGACTAACGCTCACCTTTACGACTGCACTTTCAGATTCGTCCCGTTTGTTGTGGTTGGTGGGAACCTCTCTGGCGTAAGGTTAACTTTATACGAAATATTTCTTTTTTAGTTTAGAAAAGGTCTTTGGCGTCGGTCGCATATGATACTTCTAACATAACACCGTATACCTGTAAATTCCACGTGATCAGGACCGGGTTATCAACAGGTTTCATTGTCATCCTACAGTTGTCTCTATCTACCGACCCGATAGACGGTTTTCCGGAGAGACTACGGGCTCGACGGCAAGGCCAGGGTACAGCGCGCGTCCGGGCCAAGCCCTCCGCCAGTGATACGTCTTTGCGGGCGTCTGGGTATGGACTCGCTGGGGTTTGTGGTTAGCTGCAGAGACGGACATGTTTGTCTGCCCCGGTAGGTGTGGTCGGCGCGTCTGTCTCGTGAGCAGTTAGCGCGTCTTAGTAGCAGTCTAGTTAAGGGCCTGCTTGCCCTTTAAGTTGGAAGCTATGTCCGGACATTGTCGCAGGACATTGCGACTGGCATCTCCGACACTAACCCGGAAATCTAGTAGAGAACAAGGTCTCTCAGCGGTCCCTCCAGCCGCTTAAGTTATTGGGAACTGGAGAGACATCGTTTTTCTGCGTCGGGAAGTGAGCGTGCCTTAATGAGGAGATTTGGCAGTGGCTTCAGAGTCGACGACTTAGCGATGGCAACCGCTAGTTGTGAGCAAAAACACAAACAAACAAAGTGAGCGTGCCTACAGCTGCACTCGGGGCGGCTCACCCGAGGCATAGCCTCTCGAAGAGCTGGATGAAGTCAAGTGACAGAGGTCTTTGAGAACCCTGTACACTGGCTGATCTGGGGTCAGAATCTGAACTTGTAAAGTTCCTGCGCGCGCACAGGTCATAATGCCCTTCTGTATGCCCTAAGGGTAGGTAGGGAGGGTCACTATAATCAAAACTAACGTAGAAAGATACGGAGCTTGTACTTTCAGATAAGATATGCACAGGTTTAATGGGAAGCGAAGCTGTGTGCACGAGGTTGCGCTTGTAGTACTAAAAACTCTATAAAACGTTCTTGACAGTAACGAGTTTCATTCAATTTTGTGTTGGCGTTGCCATTTTAAGGATAAAATATTTTCTTCTCACATAGTGCACGAACTTCGAGAGATCCAAAAGGACTGGTCAGTATTTGTTTAATGAATTGTCCTAATTTTCGTCCGCACGCACTTGCGGCCCAGCACGGCACAGCTTGCGGTTCGCAAGCTAAAACGTGGGTAAGTGACAAAACAATTTTTTCAGATATCATAAAAAACCATAACCTAGTTATAGAATATTTAAATTGTTTAATGAAATTTCAGCTATAATAATAATAATTCCGTAATAATAATAAAAATAATTTCCGTCGTTTTGTGACGACTAAGTATAATTTTGGGAGTGATAAGGCCGTGAGTGCAACGAACGCCACGAACGCTACGAGCGCCATGAGTGCTACGGTCGGTTCCCAAATAGCCATTAATGGATAGTGCTATACATGAGGTCAGTCTGTGTTCATTTAACTGTCGTAGTATAAAACGGTCAATTAATGACATTAGACATATATGTACGTTTGCGGATATAATAGCGCTACAGGAGACCTGGCTTTTATCACACGACCTGACGTTTCTAAACAGCATAAGCGACGAGTTTGCCTGTACGGGGTCATCGGCAGTGGACACGTCAAAGGGGTTGCTGCGAGGCAGGCCCTATGGCGGCACCGCGCTGCTATGGCGTAAGAAGATGTTTCCGTCTACTTCCGTCATTCAGTGTGACAATGCTAGAATCAGTGCTATTAAAATAAAGTCCGGTGATAAAGAGATACTAGTATTTTGTGTGTACATGCCAAACGATGGCGTAGATAATTTGCCTGATTTCGTGCAGTGTATGAGTGCAATGGTCGCAATAGTCAAGGAACATTGTGTCGAAGTGGTTTACTTACTAGGTGACTTTAACGCTCACCCGAGCGAGTTATTTTGTGACGAATTGTCGAGTTTCTGTGCCGAGCATGGTTGGATTTGTGCGGATATGACTAAACTAGGCATCGACTCTGGCACTTATACTTACCTTAGTGAAATGAATGGGTGTCTAAGGTGGTTAGACCATTGTGTAACCACAACTGCTGGGTGGGAATCTGTAGTTGATGTGTTTGTTGATTATAATGTATATTGCTCGGATCACTACCCTTTAATTGTTAAATGCAATATTAACTTGGTGAAACCAAAGCTGTGTAATCGTAATTCTGTATCGAGCGGAAAACAAATAAGGTGGGGTGTGAGAACACCTCTTGAAATTGACAGTTATACGAACAAATGTAATGAACTATTAAAGTTAATTGATTTGCCTGACGAACTTCGAAATTGTAGTGACAAATGCTGTATACAAAACTTAGATCATTGCAATATCATTGAGAACTTGTATTGTAACATAATAAATGCATTGTGTGAGGCATCTATATTCAGTAAGGTCGTCACGAGTGGTCTCGGGAAACCTAAAGTTATAGGTTGGAATAAGTATGTTAGTGTGGCTCACAGGGAGGCGAGGCTTTGCTTTCAAAATTGGGTTCTGTGTGGTAAACCCACAGCGGGGTATACATTTAACGCAATGTGCTCTAGTCGTAAAGTATTTAAATCTAGACTTAGGTGGGTTCAACAACATCAAGAACAAATCAAAATGGATTTGCTTGCCACTCATCACGGCAAAAATGATTTTCGCAACTTCTGGAAACTCACTAAGAAGATGGAAGCACAGCCTGGCCTCTCTGTCAGTGTCAATGGCATCTCTGACGCCAAATACCCTTGGCCAACGTGTTCAGGGAGCATTTTAATATAAAGTCGTCTGTTGGCAGGAGCGGTGGGTGGCAGGTGCTCGGCGATGAGACTAGAAATGACCATCAAGTACGTTTTACTGCGAAAGACATAATTGAAACATTGAAGGAAATGAAAAGGGGAAAATCTCCTGGTCATGACCACTTAAGCGTCGAGCATTTATAGTTTGCTAGGCCGCACTTGCCCAGACTATTATCAATGCTCTTTAATCTCTGTATTGGACACTCATATTTACCAATGCATTTAACGAAAACTGTAGTAGTTACTATACTCAAAAATAAAACTGGTGACATTTCTGACAAGACGAACTATAGACCTATCTCTCTGGCTACAATTGTCGCTAGAGTACTGGATAGCCTACTTAATGTGCAATTAGACAAATATGTAAATTTACAAGACGCACAGTTTGGTTTCCGAACTGGTTTATCTACTGAGAGCGCAATCATATGTCTTAAGCATGCTGTTGAGTATTACACCCGTAGAAAAACGCCTGTATACGCATGTTTTTTAGACCTCTCTAAAGCTTTTGACCTCGTTAACTACGACCTGCTATGGAAGAAGCTTGACGAGGTCAAATTTCCCAGAGAACTTACACGTATATTCGAATGTTGGTATGAGGGCCAGAGAAATAGTGTCCGTTGGGGTGACGTCTTGTCAGACGAGTACGGTTTGGAATGTGGAGTGAGGCAGGGGGGACTGACATCACCGAAATTATTTAACCTGTATATAGATGCCCTGATAGGTGAGCTCAGCAGCACGCATGTCGGATGCCACGTAGACAGGATCTGCTTTAATAATATAAGTTACGCCGACGACATGGTGCTGCTGAGCCCATCTGTCGGTGGCTTGAGAATGCTTATTAGCATTTGCGAATCGTATGCCATTGGGCATAATCTTAGATACAATGTGCTCAAAAGTCAGTGTATGGTTTTTAAGGCGGGAAGCAAATGTCCATCACACGTACCTCCCATTCTGCTAAATGGTCAAGATCTTAAGATGGTGACCTCCTTTAAATGTCTTGGCCATTTGGTAACGGATGATTTACGTGATGACGCGGACATTGAGAGGGAACGCAGAGCACTGTCTATAAGAGCGAATATGTTGGCGCGCAGGTTCAGTCGATGTACGGTACGAGTTAAAATTACTTTATTTAAAGCGTACTGTACATCGCTGTATACCTGCAGTTTATGGAGCAGGTACACCCAACGCTCATACAACACAATGCGTGTTTTATACAATGACGCGTTCAGGATTCTGTTACGGCTGCCGCGATACTGTAGCGCGTCCGGAATGTTTGCGGACGCGAGTGTAGACGGTTTTGGTGCGACATTGCGCAAGCGCTGCGCCGCATCGATGCGTAGGGTATGCGCTAGCCGTCACAGACTCCTGAATGGAGTAGCTGATAGGTGGGACAGCGGTCTATTTAGACACTGGTCCTCCCTTCATTTAAGTTTTCGTACTAACATAGTTATATAAGTTTGTTTGTAATACTAACATTCTATGGATCCACTGTTGTCCGAATTAAATGCATTTTATTTATTTATTTTATTTAATAATAATAATAATAATAATAATAAGTTAAAAATATATAGAGTTTAAAATAAATATGAAAATAATAATAATAATAAGCATTTATTTCGGACCTGAATCCATATATAATTAGTAACGGACTTATAAACTATGTTAGTAATTTACATTGTTTACTTTATTACATGACATTTACTTATGTACATATTTACGAGTACTTTTATTCTACAGCCCACTTAGAAGGCACTACATGCAACGAGTTGAGACGTTCATTGAAAGGACCATCAACTCTATTTGCTACTGTAGTAAGGAGGCTGTTGGTGCTGGCGCGCACCCGCTGCATTAGGGAGGCTTGTCGCTTTCTTAAAATGGATTGGAAGCTATCCGAAAAGGCTTCTGCGAACATTGCCGACGCGCTGCAGTATTTTTATTTATTTATTTATTTATTTATTAGGAAGACCAACAGCTTAAAACTAAATTAAGTAATAATAATAACGACATAAAGCCAATTACAGGTCCTCACAAATAACAATCGATTTTCAAGTTCTAGCACACAATTTTCAAGAAAGAAAAAATAATCAATTACAAACATAGAGAAAAATTAAAAAGTAAACATCCTTGCCGAAGTCACACTTGTATTAAATAAATCTAGGTTAATGATTTTACACAATTCATTAAAGTTACTGCTGGCACGCCACATAAACTCGTCCTGTCTATAATTGGTATGAGATGGTGGTAGATACAATAGCGAATTATTTCTTAATGACTTACAGGGGACTCTCAGCAATAACTGAGATAGCAGTTCTGGACAGTCAATGGAGCTTGATGCTATTTTTAATAGAAACATCAAGTCACCTATCTCACGACGTAATACTAGAGGTAACAGATGGTGCTTCTTACAAAGGGAGTAATAGCTAAAAGTATTGTTAGAGTCATTTGTACGGTAACAAAGAAAACGAATAAATTTTTTTTGAATATTTTCTAAACGCGAAATATAAGTATCGTATCGTGGATTCCAAATTTGGCTGGCATATTCCAAGATGCTGCGGACAAATGAGCAGTACAATATCTTGAGAGTTTTCACTTGGGTAAAATCCTTTGCACAGCGCATGACAAATACGAGGGACCTGGAGGCTTTAGCAACCATGCTATCTATGTGTGAATCAAATAATAATTTAGAGTCGTGAATTACTCCTAGATCCCGTACAATAGACTGGCGTTGCAAAATCGCGCCTTTCAGAGAATAATTGAATATTAGAGAGTTACGTTTGCGACTGAAAGTAACTAGGCAACATTTTGAAGGATTAAGGTCCAGATCATTGGCCCGGCAGTACACTTCAAGCCTATCCAGGTCAGACTGCAAGGCCATCGCGTCGTCTCTGGTTTTCACTCGCGCAAAGATTTTCATATCATCCGCAAAGCAAAGTAGATGAGAATCCTTGAAACACTGGTGACACCACTTGGAACTTTAACCCAACTAGATACATGATTACTGACAACTACAGCCTGGGATCTGCTATCAATGTAAGATTAAATACATCTAAGGAGGTCACCACATATACCGAAGTATGCAAGCTTTGTAATGAGAGTCCTGTGATTAATTCTGTCAAAGGCTTTGCTATAGTCGGTATAAATGACGTCCACTTGTGCTCCCGTGTCCATAGCAGTAGTGAGAAAGCCATTAAATAAAGCAAGATTTGAAACAGTAGAACGATTTTTAAGAAAACCATGTTCATATGGGCAGAAACAATGATTTAAAGCGGAATAAACTTGGTTATAGATGATTTTCTCAAGGACCTTAGAAATGATACAGAGCTTGGAGATAGGTCTATAGTTAGACACTTCGGTCCTATTCCCCTTCTTAAAGATTGGTGTTACATAAGCTCTTTTCCAAACATCTGGAACAATACTTTCTGTCAACGATCTTCTAAAAAGTAAGGTGATGGGAAGGGCAATCGTATCAGAGCACCTAATAAGAAAAATAGCTGGTAGTTGATCAGGCCCAGCTGATTTTGCCGAATCCAGCTGCTTAAGTAGGCGACATACCTGAATCTCCTCTACTGATATGGCACCAAGGGAAGCTACACTCATGGGAGGCACGTCAACAACAGGCGAGACGAGACTACTAGAAGACGTCAGAAACGAAGAATGAAAAAATTTTGAAAATGCTTCACTAATAGAATCACCTGTGTTGAAAGTATTGGCGCCATAATGAAGGCAGCATGGCAGGGAACTCGATTTTTTCTTTGATTTAATATACGACCAAAACTGCTTCGGGTTATTTTGAATTGAATCTTCAACTAAATTTATATATTTTCTATAGCAGGTATTCTCTAAATTCTTGGCTCGATCACGGAGTAGCTTGAAGGATTCTTCATCCGACCGGTTGCCGTATCTCTTAAATTTCTTAAAGTATCTATGTTTTTCATTTAACAATTTAATAAGCGCCGCTGAATACCAGTTCGGATAAGACTTATTAGTTATACGCTTTGATGGTACATATAAGTCTCTCAATAGTACAAATTTATTGTAGAAAAAGGTTACGGCTTAAGAAAAAGGTTACGGCTAAACAAAGCACGGCAGCCCCAACAGCATCCTGAATGCATTATTATATTGGACACGTAGGGCGCTGTATGCCTTTTGAGTAAATGCCTTCCACAGATTGCAGGCATAAAATGATTGGCAGTAGGTTTTAAATAAGGTGACTTTCACTTAAACTGTACACCTTGCAAATCTACGGATCGACATATTACTTCTAACAGCCAGCGCCCTACGTTCCCTCTCTAAGTCCATATCATCTTTAAGCGACTAAGGGAGAGAGTCTAAGGTCACTAATCGAGGGGCTTAGCAGCACCATGTCATCGGCATAACTAATGTTGTTGACATATTTACCGTCAATTGAACACCCCACCATGGCACTACTAAGCTCCTCGATCAGGCCGTTCACATAAAGATTAAATAGCATTGGGGAAGTTACCCCCCCCCCCCCCCCTGCTATGCATCGTCAGAGTAAGTTCCGATAAGTCGAATACAAATTATAAACTGTTTTTTTAAAAGAGAATTGTGTGCTCTGTCTTTTGCTATTTCAAACGGATATTTGGCCATTTGCACTTAGTCGCGTTTCAGTTAGTGGACGGCAGACCTTTCATTAGGTTCAGGTGCGAAGGTTCGCGCGAATTCTATATTGGTAAGTCAAAGTCACAGTTAGGTTCATTGCGAATAAAACAAAATTCGAGAATTGTGTGATATCTGAATAAGTACCACGGATTAAAGTCGACTACATTAATTAAAATTCTCGCAATCTTATTCATTGGACTTGTGCCAACATTTTTCTTCATACATTTGGTCATAAATACCGCGAATGTTATTCGGGACTTTTGGTTAGTTTAGAATTCTCTAGATTCGATACTTGCAACTAAAAGTCAGCAAGGACATTTGAGGGACACTACTGACAGTACAAACATTAAATAAAGACCGGTATGAGCTTCTTGGTAATTCCCGTGGGTTATAAAATAATTATTAACGCGACCCTAGTTTAAGGTCGAATTTGAAATAGTGGTCGTACAAAAGAATAAAATGTTGCGGTGAAAGTTACAGAAAAAAAAGTGAGAGCTTTACTCGGATATCGATCTTCAAAACTACATTTTAAGTGTTGCGGAGTACATGGTTAAGAGCACGTGACGCTTGACACTTAAGACATAAATCCAACTCTATGCCGCTTACGATAAGAACGGTCCAAAGTTCAAAGTGTCAAGCTTGACGTGCTCTTGACTGTATACTATGCACTGTACAAATAAAATAAAAATATAAGTGTATTTTTGATTCTAGGCCTGTTCATTAAAACAAAACGCTTATAATTAAAAGATGAAAATAATGGTATACCTGGGTTAGCATGGAGAAGACAGCGGCCATGCCCACTTGACCGGTGCCCACGACCGTTACTTTGTTGCCCGTGTCGTCTGTTTTCTTCTGCACCGGTTGGAATAGCTTGTCCACTGTCGCCATTTTGTCTAAATAATTTATTTTAATGTAGGAACATAAGTGACTTTTTTAACAAGATTATAAACCAAAATATGTCTAGGTATGTATGTCGTAATGTTCATGTTTCTCAAACATATACATATTTTACTGCGCTTGTTAGCGCCTACAAATAAAATTATTCACCAATATTTTTTAAATGATTTGTGCATGATCTCCATTAAGATGAAAGAAACTGGAGGATCGAGTTCCCCTCTGTAAACCATAATTGTGCGAAAAAGATCGGTATCATAATTTGTAGCAGGAATAAAAAAAATCCACGACCTTGAGGACCTACAAAAACAGTTTTCTTTAAGTTCAAAAGATTCTAAGGAAAGAATTCTAAGTTTAGTGTAGATAGATGTTGAGGTAAAATTAATAACACGTGGTGAAATACAACCTAATAGGTATGTACCTCCATATAATATCAAATAGTTTTTCAAATTTTATTAAAAAATTAACACTTAATTGAATAGTTTGTTGAAGGTTTTAAAAGCTCACCTTACCAACTCAACATGTACTTTGTACTTTACACTTACAAAAAATATACAAAAAGTATGTGTAGAGGAACATTTTTAGAAAATGACTGCTTACGCTATGCTACGGCTACAAAGTTCAATTTAAATTAAACTCACATCTAAGGACACCATTGACGACGTAGTTTTCAGCCATTTTTAGGCAAACTTAAAAAATATATGCTTTTCACGAGCTTAATATCGATAAGTGTAAAATAGTGAGTCGAACACAAGCTTCCCACTATAAGGTCTCATTAGTACTGAATGAATGAATCTACACCGACCCGGTTTTGCTTGAAACGCATTTCGCGTGGGTTGAATGCACTAAATAAACGGAACGAGTGAATGAGCAATGGCGGCAGCGGGCGGCTGTGGCTGCGGCGGCGGCGGCGGCATGATCGCGCGCAAAAAAGTTGCATTGAAATGTGATATGTATAACCTTTGCCAATACCTTGCACTTGTAAAGAAGTACCTATTAGAAAAGTTAATATAACCTTAGGGTCGTTATAATAGTATAGGCCAACGTTTTTACACAAATGTTAGGTCAAAATAAACAACAAATGAAATACTTTTTGGCCACAGAAACTATAGGCAATACGTTTTTAAAGATAACAATACCTACTAAATATACATATTTACTTACGACTTCCTCTTGTACCGTCCTTGATTGTCCTTGACCATGTTTCGCAAGCTAGCTTGAGTAGACGTCTATTAGTCTAATAAGTTGGAACTTCAAGGTTCTTAAGTTATTTTCGTATTAGGTATAAGTAGGAACATGATGATAATAGTTTTCTTTTATGTTAGAACGTTTTTGTGAGCTGTTTATTGTAGGCAATAATTAGCAAAACCACATTTTATAATATTAGCGTTTATGATATGTAAAAGCGACGAATACGAAGTTTAGAGTGAGTCACATTCCAATTTTCATAAAATAATGTAGTAAATGTACCTACGATGTTTATGTGCCTATCAATACTCTTCAAACAATACCTACAAATATAACGCATCTCTTCATAATGCTTTTTCGAATTTATTTTAAGTCGAGCTTTAACTTCCACAAACAAAACAAGAATCAATCAGTAACTATACGGTAGCACAAATTTTGGAATAACTACAACTAACTAGTATTAGTTACGTACTTCTATAGGTTTATGAATATTAAGACAAATATTAGATACTTATATTAATTACCAAGGAGTTTAATCATGGCGCCATAAAAAACTTGAATGTAGCGCCGTATTACAAGAGAAAATAATGGGAAGTATCTATTTTAGGTGAGGTGTTCACACAGCTAACTGCGAAAATTGACACAAATTTTTGAAAATATGTTGTACTTACGTGAATAATTTGCGAGTTTCGTGGGAGAAGTCACGTAGTGATGGAGCTGCGAAGCGTGCAGCCGGTGTGCCGGTCGACTCGCGCTCCTATATTCAAGGTGACCTTCAACAGTTCGTTTTGGGAGCTACTGTATTGCGCATGCCCGTATTCCTCACAATATACACCATATCCCGACTATACAGAGTTCATAATAAAAAGTTGCACGCCATACAGGACTCAACAATTACTAATTCCAACGCATCAGACCGCCACGAAATTAAGAATTTGGACTGCAATCACAGAACAACTGATTATACATTTGATATCTGCATTAATCATAACTGGACTAGGTGCCTGATTCTACATTTAATATCAGGCAGACAGTAGGTACTTACACCTTTATAGATAAAGGCGACATGACGTCAGCCTCGACTCTACCACTCACTGTTTAGGTTATAATGGTTTGTATTTAGAAACTGAAATAGTTTTGTTTAGACAGGTACAATGCTCTTGTTTTCTCCTGACTGGAGCTATTCGAAGGAAGTAGGTAGGTTAAAAAACGGTATTTTCAGGAGTGCTATTGTATGTGTATGTGTTACTTATGATCAATAAAACAATTGTTCGTTTTAGCAAAACTATTTTATTTATGTCATTCTATTGTTTTCCGCTTTGCTCACATTGACAAAATGTGAAACGAGCGTTTCTAATGAAACACATAAGAGTCAGTGGCAGTGGTTAATTTTTGGAGCATCCGGATACAATTTGAAAGTGTCACTTTACTAGACACCGTGTAGACGGTCATTAAATCACGTAGGTAGATGACCAAGCCAAGCGGCTACGGCCTCGGAGTCGCACACAATGATGCCACATGAGGAAATACTGAGCAACTATATTGTTTACAAACCGTTGCGCATAAAACGAAAGAGTGTTATCATTTTCCGTGTAACTATTCATTAGACAGGAATGTATTCTTTTTACTTATTTCATCCTTTTTTTTATATAAAAAATAAGTGCGTATTTGACCTCCATCTAATCTGTCTAACCGACGAGCAACAAAATTCGTTTTTATGAAATGTATACGTCACATAGGCACTGTGTATGCGTCAGTTAGAGTGTTCTCGTATAACAATGTATAGAGAATCCACGAGGGTTGCCCGTATGCATTTGAATCCGACTGATTTGTGGTTTATTGTGTTGATGCCAGTCTGACATCATGCAGGGCCTATATACCATAATAAATAAATAATATGAATAACACGCACGCACTCGTGTCCCGCACTAATGAAACCCTGTATTGCAGATGCCATGGACACAAATAAACAACCACAAATGACACCCAGACTCACGAGAGAAATAAATGTAGGCCATACAAATATTTCTCTCGGACGGGGATCGAAATCTGGACCTCTGCGTGGCAGACCAGTATGGAGTCCGACCACGAGACTTAACCTTTGCATACCATAACGAGGACGAGTGGCTTTTCTCCTTTATAGCTATTTGATGTTGTATAGTCGAATAATAATAGGTAGTGTTAGACGTTCAAATAAGGTCAGATTTGTTAAATAATTGGCATTAGGCAGAGTGTTCAGGCGAAGGTTAGGTCGTTTCCCTGACGAAATAGTACCAGATGATCTCCGCCAGTAGATTGCTCAATCCTTAGCCATATTTCCCGACTACTCCTGGAACTGCTCTGTCACCAACGTCGGCATCTCCCAAGCTAATATTAATTTCATGCCCTTTTCTCATAACTTAACGGACTCCTGACACTGCTAGCGATTTTTCCGAGGTAGGTACTTAAACTTTTTTCTCATGGTAATTTTCTTTTGGCGCTTATATAATTAAATGTGCATATGTGCATTTGGCACTCGTCATGTGAAAGAATTTTAAAGAACAAATTTTTAATTAGCACCACATTCGAAGACCCCGAAATTAACAATGACTGCAATCGTTAAAGGAGGCGCAGAGAGGTAAATGGTCAGATTGCTCCGATCCCATCTTTCCAATCTATCATTACGTTTCAATACACGTTTAAAATTTGTACGACGATTTACGATAAATTAGTGACTTACTGATGGATGAAAAAATGTAAAACGTTTGAAGCACCAATAAACCATCAGGTGAATACTGCGATGCTGAGGGCAAGCGCAGCTAGTGTTGCCCATTGCAAGACCAAGACGCGACTAATCCCAATCTTGGTCTTGTTACAAGAGTTTTGCAAGTCTTGCAATTACCTTTTGCTACTTATTAGATAAGCAAATATCCGCAGGTTATCTTAATGTTTGACGATGACCGGTATCGTAAAATGTCAGTAGTAACAATTCTTAACTAAGAAACAGCAAACTTTAAACGGTTAAAAAGATGAGTGAAGAGTGCGTAAAAAATCTACTTATTTGCACAGAATTAAGTTTAATTAATATTCAGTCAACGGCAGGTCAACCTATCCAAAAATAATAAATTTATTCAATTGATACTAAACTCTATGAGTTTTGGAATAAGCTGTTGTCTGTATGTTAGCCACGCATGGAGACTTAAAATTAAATTTACATGGCATTGGATGGAGAAAAAGATATGTGGAGAGCACGTGTAAAAATGTGTCAAATTTAACAAAAATAAGTTATTTTGATGAATGTTACTTAGTTTTATTTGATTTTATGGGCACTATCACTGGGTGAAGTAGTACTTTTTCTATTTGTTACAGCCTGTGTAGTTAATGTTTACACAGTCCAATATAAGAGTACCTATTATAATATACTTATTATTATTACAAATACTATTAATAATAATAATATACCTAGCCTCACGAACGCAAATCCTTGCGAGGACTAACTAAGACATTCAGCTACGTTCCGAGCGCCTCTGAACAAATTTTATTCTTTGGAACACTCGGTCACTCAAAAAGCGATGTCAAAGATGTCGCGGGCACTTGCCGCACGGTCTTATAAGAAAGCGGCGTCTTTTTCGGCAAATTAACTAGTGTTGCGCATATGTATATACATATGTGTGCCATCTTATGCTTTGGAAAATAAAGTTTAATAATATTTTAACTAATATGGTTGTAAATTGTAGAAATTGTTAAAATAAAAAATGTTTTCATAAAACCGAATCATCTCATGTGCGAATTTTGCATAAATGTGTAAAGCGCTTAAACTATGAATACGACCTGCAACATACCTATTTCTTTCAATAAAGACATATTTGCAAATTCTCTTAATCTATAATCTAGGTACGTTTACATTAATATGCTAAACTAAAGGTTGGCTCACAAATGCTGAGCTTAGTAACATTGTTATTTTGTATTTAGTAATACAGGGTGGGTATAACTAATAACTATAAGTATAAAATAATAAGTTTTCCGTATTTATAAACATGTTGACTTATAAAGGTTTTAATTTAAAACATTGTTATTTTATTACTAGACGTAAGTTAAACAACTAAAATAAACAATGAACTTATCGTAATACTTACTTAATTACAAATATTTTGATTTATATATAAAGGAACAATGATAGAAGATAACCAAAAATCTTTAATGCCCACTATCCGGAAATTGTCACTCTATGGGTTAACACAAATATGCGTAGCACATACCATCCAAATAAGATATCACCGACCGACAGCAAATAAAAATAACTTTTGCTTCTCTTTCAAACAACAATTCAATCGCATAAAAGAGACAGAGCATAATATTGACAGCAAATCACAGTATTAAAATTCGTAGAACTGTGCTGCAAACACCGTTTGCTATAGTCGATTAAGCTTGTTTTAATAAGTAAGGCTGTGTTTGAATTAGTAGACAATCTTGGTAAATTATAATTTTAGGCATAAAGTGCGTAAAAGAACTCAATTCAAAGTAAATGCGAGACCGCAAGAGTCAGTCTTTTTCTTGCCCAAGTCTCGTAGGGTTGATCTTGGTAATCAGTCTTGGTCTTGCATTTTAGCAAGGCCAAGACTTGCTAAAATGCAAGACCGAGACTGATTTTGGGCAACACTAGGCGCAGGCCGCTAGTGTTTGTTGTTATCCAATAGCGGGTTATTAGGTACATGTATAGCGGGGATTGTCAAATAATTAATCTAGTAC